GCCAAAATGTTGCGGCGAGGTCAGTTTCCCCGATCCCTCTCCGCGGCAGGCCAATCCGGATCTAACCCTCTGGACGGCCAGAATTGACAGTCCCTAGATGCGTCGGGTGTGGCCATCCATCTCGCCATCTTTGAGGGTTACTCTTAAAAACCAGTGCGCCCAAAATCAGGGGCACCCTGAGTTCTCATAATTTCTGCTGCCCGGTCAGACCAAAGTACCGTAAAAACACGGACTCGCCCTTTAGCCTAAGTCCCAAAACCGCCATTCTTAGGCGTCGCACTACTTGTGGCCGCCTGACAGCGGCGCATTAATGGCCGCGTTGAATTCTTCAAGCAGGGAGAGGTACTGGTGGTTTAAATGCACCGATATTCCATCCAAATAAGAGCAATACAATGAGCTTTTGAGCCAATGTCCAAGCCCTCAGGTCACACCAACGCAGTATGCAATGTCGCTCCTTTTGTCTGGCGCCCCTCGCCCAGCCTACTCTACTTGTCCTACCTAGCCTACCGACGTTCATGCAACAGGCTCACTTCGACTTTGAACACCAATGTACATGACCTCAAAATCGGGTTCCCAGCACGTGTTGCTCCCTGCGAATAGATTGGACCATTGTTTCGATTTTCAAAAAAAAAAAAAAAAAAAAAAAAAAAAAAAAAAAAAAAACACCAATTCCGACCTCCTCTATACACATGGTACGTACTCTCGTCTCCCTCGTCACCCCCTGTCCACCCACATCTGTGCCTCCTCCTGAAGACCCCCGTTGCCCTCCTCTGCCTTAGCACCCTGCAGCCCTGCTACGGCCGTTAGCGCCCCACTGCCCAGCAGCGCCCCTAACCTCTCAGCTCCCGCGCTCACCCCAGCCACCAGATGCGCAATGCAGACACTTGCGTGCGAGCGCAGCAGCATGTCCGCATTGCCTGCCTAGGCCAGAATGCCAGAGCCTGGCTGACCTCCTCCCTATATGGAAGAGATTGCTGCTGCCGGACTGCCTGGGCCTGGTCGTGGAAGTTTCCAGTAGCTTCCGGTCGGGCCCCAGTGTCTGCGCCCAGGCCCATGTCTACAGTTCAGGGCCTGGTCCCGTTGCAGTTGGGCACACTCAGGATATCCAGGCTCTCGAATGTTTGCTGTGTTTGCATTGGCCTGCAGCCAGATGTGACGACAATGCTGCATTCTCATTGGCCCGTGGCCACTTCGTGATGTGCCGGCCTCACGCTGCGTGTGCCCAGGGCACAACTACCTGCGTCCTGGGCTCAACCACCTCACACAGCTGCTCCTTCTGGAAGTGCCCAGTGTGAGGCCCAGGTAGCACTTCAACCAGCTGCCATGCAGCAGCAGTCTGAGACCCACATTGGAAAACTCTGAGATAAGGGCTCATGAATATTCAGGCCCGCCTTCACTTAGGGTGGGCACGAGGCTTGCTGGGGGCCACAGTCAGAACTGTTATACCGCGTCGAACGCGGGGACACAGCCATTCGGGTAGCATGCTTTATGTTCTAGACAGTAAGCTTGGCAAAGGTCTTTTTTTTTTTTTTT